TCGACATATTTAACTGTTTTATTACTGACTGTTTTATTACTGACTGTTTTATTACTGACTGTTTTATTACTGATTGTTATATTACTGACCATTTTATTGATGACTGTTTTATTACTGAATGTTTTATTACTGACTGTTTTATTACTGAGAGTTCTGTTACTGACTGTTTTATTACTGACTGTTTTATTACTGACTGTTTTATTGCAGACTGTTTTGTTACTGAATGTTTTATTACTGACTGTTTTGTTACTGAATATTTTATTACAGACTGTTTTGTTACTGAGTGTTTTATTGCAGACTGTTTTGTTACTGAGTGTTTTATTACTGACTGTTTTGTTACTGAGTGTTTTATTACTGACTGTTTTGTTACTGACTGTTTTGTTACTGACTGTGTTTCAGACCAGTTCTTCATGGTCCACTCTAAAAACTCAGTTCCTGTCATCTTGGCTGTAGTTCTGTGTTTCATCCTGATTGTTGCTGTTGTTGTTTTTATCTGGAGATGGAGACAAAGAAAAATCTGTGAGTTTAATCTTTTTATTTATTTCAAGAAATAATCTGTTTTGTTTTAATGCACTGACATAAAACTAAACTTCACCAACTTCCTGTTTCTGCAGCAACAGAGAAACAAGCAGAGAATAAAAATGAAGAGCAAGGACACCTGATGGATGAAGAAAGGTCTAAACATGAGGAGGAGTTACTGAGGATTAAGATTAAAGATGAGGAATATTTGAAACACAACTTTGATGTTTTCATGAAGATAAAAGAAAAACTGGAGGAGCTGAAAAAACAACGCACTGTCCTCCAAGAGGAGGAAGAGAAAGAGTTTGAAGAGAATGATAAGATGTTTAAGGAAGTGGAGTTTAAAATTAAAAACCCAAAGAACGGAAATGTTCTCATTAATGCAAAAGATCATGAAAAACTGAAAGAGTTCATGAAGCAGCACAACAACAAACTGGACGAGAGAAAGAGAAAACATGAAGCGCTGGATGTGAACACAGATCAGTTAATTAACAAAGTGAGAACTGAAATTAAAATGATTGAGAGAAAGAAACAGGAGCAGAGAAAAATAAAAGAAACTGACGAACAATTAAAAAAGAGTGAAACAGAAGAAAACATTTAACTGAACATGACAGAAATAATCTGTTCTTTAAAATAATCTGTTCTTTAAAATAATCTGTTCTTTAAATAATCTGTTCTTTAAATAATATGTTCTTTAAAATAATCTGTTCTTTAAATAATCTGTTCTTTAAAATAATCTGTTCTTTAAATAATCTGTTCTTTAAATAATCTGTTCTTTAAAATAATCTGTTCTTTAAATAATCTGTTCTTTAAAATAATCTGTTCTTTAAATAATCTGTTCTTTAAAATAATCTGTTCTTTAAAATAATCTGTTCTTTAAATAATCTGTTCTTTAAAATAATCTGTTCTTTAAAATAATATGTTCTTTAAATAATCTGTTCTTTACAATAATCTGTTCTTTAAATAACCT